TTGTTAACTGAGGGGGGTTACAGAGTATTTGTTAAATATAAAAACAAAATATATATTGTGTGTTTGAGTGGTCCAGACGCTACATCGCGATTAGAAATTCGATTAATTCTGCAGCCCTAGCATTAACCATTGTAAACCTGCATACTATTAACTAAGATTAAATTATAAAAAAATTTAAATGAGTTATACATTGCAGCATACAGTGTAGAATACACAGTACAGTATATTATAGTATACTACAACAGTATACTATAATATATACTGTACTGTCATGTGCATTACAGTATAGTAGTATAGTATATAGTGTAGTATATGCAACTGTCCCATGAGCCATAAATCTGTGCACAATCACCTTGGATCAAAAGTCAAAACAATGTGTTACATCATACAGTGAAGTATATCAGCATACTGCATTATAGAATACTATAGTATACATTACAGTATAAAGTGTAACATAAGCCGTCATATGACATGTGCCATAAATCTTTGCACATGTAAAATGGTTAAGGTTATACAGTATATGTACATTGCACAATATAGTTTGGTACAGTACAGTACAGTATGCAACTGTTGCAAACTGTGCACAAACTCAAGGCATAGTATATTAATGTACAGAACACATAGTACAGTATAGTACGTGATACAATGATACTCTGATCCTAACAAAAGACATACTTAAGGCTGTCTCAACCAACTGTTTACATAATCAACGCTAAATTGCACGGTTTATTTAGTAAAGCAACAAAACCTGGCACTGCATGTCGGTCAAAATGCATGGAGCCCCCATCAGCCCTGCAAAAACACATGAAATATACACAGCAACAGCTCATTATATAACCAGCCGGGATGAACCGAGTGACATCACGGCGGGATACACTCAATGGCTGCATCTCAAAGCCTAGTAAGGCTGCCTACCTAGACAGCATTACTGGAGTCTGTTCAGAACGCGCCGAACAAATCACACCGCCTTTTAGGAACCATACGATATGGTGCGCTCACTAGGTACTGAAACACAACCAGTGTATATTAAAACACAGTGACAGTGAAGCGGAGACAAAAGTGTTGTAGCCTATTTGTACGTGCTATTCTCAATTAAACAGACACGGGCGATAAATGCACTTGCATAAACCGCGTAGCCGTGGGATTAAACGGTGCACAAGGGTTGAAGTCGCAACTCTAGTGTAGCCTAACACTTCCGCGATTGTGTTTTCACATCATAAGGGTTTCCAGCAACAATGTTGACTCAGCAGAAGTGTGCACAGCTACGACGAGTGACAGTGTGTTCAAAAAAGTACAGCTGACTGATCAATAATCCGCAGATAAATTGATGTTTATAAATCTATCTGGAGCGATAAAAGGAGGCGGGGTGGCGCAGTTACTCAGCCCCGCCGAGAGCGCTCCCTGCTCGGGCTTACAGCTCGCAAGTAACCGCCCCGCTTCCCGTGCGCTACTTCAAAGTAGTTATATAATTTTTAATCGAGATGACAAACAGCACATTTTGAACATCTCGCCCGGTCGACCGCAGACAGGTTGACATAATAATTAGTGCAATTGTCACAGTACATGTTTACAAAGATTTCTTTTTAAATAAACGTCACACTCTCTTCCTCCTGCGTCCTTTAGTTCCCAGCCATTTTTCCCTGATCGCAAGCAAATCCAAAAGACAGTTTTGTGCTGGTAAATTAGATGCACGGACTTACTGTACGGTATAACGGGCAGGGAAGCGCGAGGCTCTCCGTGTTGCCAGGGCTCCGTGCGTTCTCGCGCACTGCCGGTGGAATCGTCTCCGCTCCGCTCGTACAATGATGTCTGCTGCAGCCCGAGCTAATAGCTCTATCGCTCCTTGCCTCCACCTCCAGTGAGTGAGTGAGTGAGTGTGTAACGGAGGGAGTGAGTGTGTGTGTGGAGGCGTGCGTAAGAGTGTGAAATGTGTAATCCAAATATGGAGCAGTTGGCCGGCCCAGTTAAAGAGAAGGGATTGTTCCATTAAAAGTATAGAAAAACATAATGACGTTTGAGGCTCCATAAACAAATGGTGTGTTTTAAAGTTGAACATTACATGTCAGTTAGTTTCTCTAATCTGAAATACACAGCAGCGTTCCGGGAGTGCTGCTATTTAGTACAACATCACTGAGAAACTGCACAGTTTGTATCATTCGCTCAGAACAGGGAATGGAAATCCCGGAGTGGAGTTAGAGCCAAGTGATTATAGAACGCTATGAGCCATGGAGCTCTGTCACTCCGCTCCACTCATTCAATGTTCCAGACCGGGGTTTACCCTGTGCATTAACGTGGAAAGATAGACGCTGTGGATTCTTTTGGAACTCTGCCAGCGATATTTATTAAAAAGAAATGTATGAACTAGACTAATACAAGTAGCCCAATATTAATTTCTTACTTATATTAATGTTTTATGAAAGCAATATCACATCACCAAAAAAAATCACAAATATCAGCACGCCTGTTATCTGCGGCCTTGCATTATTATATACATATCTGAATTATCCACAATTTTTTTTCCTCAAACCAGTTCAGCCCGTAGCCGAATTGGTCATTGGTCAAATCATTCAGTCTAATGTCAAGAAAAGTTCAAGGATTTAGTTCATAGTTATAAAATATCATATACTTGTCTGATCACAACAAATAGTTGGCTAATATCAGTATGTGCTAACAAAGCCATTAAGGTTAGGGTTTGTCCTACTATTTGTTTTAGACTTGTGATTGACCAGTGAAATCTTTCGCCTGGATTGGTTTGGAGGGAAAAAATGTCTATCACTTTATTTCACTGTGCGAGACTACTGATTCATTAGCTGCTATAGGTAAATACCTAGAAGAAAAACAAAGTGCAGTAAATGTTAAAACTATTACCAATGTGTATAACCAATTTGTTTATGATGATAATAAATTAAAATCTAGAATGCCCTATAGATATAGGAATCGTCCATTGTGATTAGCCAAGAGTAAGAGGCAGTTTGCTGGCTCTGACAGTAGGCCTAGGTTTGAGTTCAGTGCCCACAGTTACTCATGTAAATAGCCTTATGAAACTAATTTTCTGTTCTAGTTGCTATGAGTAGAACGTTCTGTTTCAACCGGAAAACACAATACATGGAGTGAGATATGCATGATTATTGTTCATTTTGCTAAGACATACCTGGTTAAGTTTAAATGACAATGACACATATATTTTCTTTTTAAGGAATACTCTTGCTATTATGGGGGGAATAGAATTAGACGAAATGTTAAACGCATGCACTCACATACACAGACACATTGTGGTCAACGTTTGGGAAGGGACTTTCCACAAGAGTTTGTGGCTATGTTTCTATGGAGACTATAACATACCCTTCCTCCACCCTGGAATACATCAGCATATCTGGCCTATTATTTAAGAGTCTCAGCGCACAGCATTTGGTCAAGAAGTTTTACATGACTTACAATTAATTACCTGTAAATACAACATTGTCAAAATGACCAGACCTTTAAGAATTATAACAGTGCGCAGTGTTAAGTGTTTTTCCTAAAAATGTTTATAAAAAGAGTGGGAGAGACACCACAGACATATCAGTCATACTTTTTCGCTTGTCATAAAAATAGCCGTGGATGATGGCATGACATTAAAATGTACAAACATACTTTTTTGATTATGGAGGACATGATCAATTGTATTTGAAAATGCTTCACTTGAAATAACACATGCAGAGCTTTACCTTCTTCAGTGTTATTTTAGTATTATTTATGTACTATTCTAGTATTTGACATTTAATACATTATACAGACACACACACATAAATGTATATAATATAACATTTTGAATTATTTTTTATTTTAATATTTTCAGTTTTTATTTTAATTTTAGTTTAAGTTTTAGTAATATTGATACGCATTTTACTTGTATTTCTTTTTAGTTTCAATTTATTTTATTTCAGTTTTAGCTATTTTAATACTTATTTCTATTTTGTTTTTTTGGGGGAATATTTCTCATTTTTATTTCAAGTTTTATGTTTAATCTATTTATGTTTTATTTTATTTCAGCATTATTTGTTTATATTGTTAATAGTTTCTGTTTTACTTAACAAAAACAACATTGTGTTTAGTCACCCTCATGAACAAACACTTTCTTCCATGGAACACAAAGGTGAATTTCTGAAGAATATTATGAAAGTGAAGGAGAACTGTATTCATAACTGTGTCTCAAAATGACAAAAAGCAGCATTACTAAAGTACTGTTATTGGTACATGCGACTCAAGCACTGCATTCCAAATTTAAGTTTGAAATTTAAGTTGAAATTTAAGCTGAAGCGCTGAAATCGACTATCACAAAATCACAATGCATTCCTGTGCATCTTGTGACACAAATATTCTTCGGAAGACTAGGAATATAGTGTGTGTGTGTGTGAGTCATATGAATGACTTTTATGGTGCTTTCTTGTCATTGTGGAGCTTGACAAGTCCCTCTTCACTTTCACTTGTAAATAAACAATGAGTAAATAATGACAGAATGCTCATTTTTAATGGGAAATCTGGTGGTGGATCTCCAAGACTGTTGCTAAGGATATGTGTTGTGTATGTGTGCTGCTCTCTGTGAATGGGCTATTGATCTTCTGTGAGGAGGCCACGTTAGGCCTTCTCCTGTGGGCCTGCTGCTGTTTACACTTAGTGCCCTAATGATCAGCCACTGATTCTTCAACCCACATCCACATGCTAGATCACACCACCATACACCACCTGCCAAAAAACACATGCAGCATTATTCAATATGAAAATGACGGATGCGGCATTTCAACATTTCACTTTCTCTGAATGCCGACAGACTGAGTTGTCTGTACCTGTTTTCGCACCACACCCAAGCACTGAGACTATCTGCCTGTCAAATCCACAGCACAGCATGCACAGCACTCCTCCTCCCCTGGCATGTCAGATGTTCATCTGTATATCAGCCACGCACTTTATGCCAGTCATCTCCGCCTGCAAGCACAGTCAGCTCTGTAGGCATCTTGTCAAGTTGTATTCACTATGACGGAAGGACATGTTGATTCCCATACCTTATTTCTGCTCTATCCTCGCAGCCACAGCTGTCTTGAAGTTACAAAGAGTTTGGGTTGTGTGAAGAAGAATGTGTGCACTCAGCAGACTATAGCAAAAGGGAAGAAGCTTGTTTCTAGATCAAGACTTCTGCCCTCTACTGGTCACAGAGAAAGATTTATTGGTGTGCAAGGTCTATAAAAACAATAAAAAAGAGATTTTTTAAAAAGTTGTGAAATGTGAGGGATTTCTACAATAAAGAAAAAGAACAATCTTTTAAAAATCTACACATTAATGCTGGAGGTTTTGACAAATTATATAATATTTTCATGTAACCATTAATACATGTGAGTGGAAGCATCATTTTTTAACTATTAAATATATATTTAAAAAAGTCAAGGTATTTTTTAATACAAATATCATGAACTATTAATTCAGAAATATCAGTTTTGGGGAGTCAGACCAAATGATTTTGATTTGGCAGACAAATTGAAATTCAATTATTATTATTTTTATTAAAATAAATAATTAATTTAAATATTAATATTTTCTATAATAAATAATATCAGATTATGTCAAAATATTTAATACAGTTTTCCCTTTTTTTCACCCTCTTTTATGATTTTAGGACATTTGTATCACACTGGACTTGTCTCCAAAAAAATGTCAAAATAAATATTAATTCATACATTAAAAACATGCCCATTATAGAAGAGGTGTTTTGAAGTCTGTGAATGAATCAATTGCATTTTAATTTTTCTTTTTTAATAATAATAATAATCTGGCCAAAAAAAACTGTCCCATTATTGACCCAAAAGTAACGGCTCACATTAATGTCTGTAACAAAAACAGTACAGAATGAGTTTTATAATTTAATAATAAGTTTAATTTTTTTTATCAACAGCTCAAATTATGACCGATAGTAATTGCTCATACTTTGGCAAACAACACTTGCTTTGTGAACATCACTTATTACACATAATAATAATGCTAATAATAATATAGCATAAAACAGTGATTGATGTTTTTCATGATAGCCCAGCAATACTTGATGGCTGAAAAGAATCACTTTTTTTCTACGGCATGTTGAGAGAACTTTATATTAGATGTTCAGTATGAGCATTTAACAAACAGAAACTGCCCACACAAGTCTCTCTAAATTAAATTCATCTGTTGTACAAACTTGACAGGGAAAATGTTCCCTTATCAGGCCTCACTCGCTATCTCTCTCTGAGCACCTCTGAGTTTCCACTGTAATAATAATTTATTGAATGTGATAGTGGATAATGCATCACTAAATCAAACCCCTTCTGCATTTTTTCACAGTGCTGTGCATCCATATTTCAGTATGTGCTGGACTTCAGAGAACGTCTGTGTGGATGATCTCTGTACTTGTTCAACATACTGTAAGCATTTGTAAGCTGGAGACATGTGAACAAATGCATGTGTGGGTGTTTGCTATTGCACACTCTTCTCTAAGTTTAACACTTAAATGAACTCAACAAATAGAGTGCTAAGGGATTTATCTTGAGCAATATCCTTACATCCACAGCCAGAACACTCTCTCCTCTGATCTTTAGTATAAACACTTGGTCCGCCTATATAAACAAGTGTTATTTAAGTCATACTGAAAAAACACATTATATAAAATTAATGTGTGGATTTAGTTGTGTGTTTATGTGCATGTTATCTTCACACTGTATTATGATGACATTTATGTTTGTAATAAATGTTCAGTTTTTATAAGTTTTGTTATATAAAGGGTGGTCTACACACACACACACACACACACACACATCATTCAGTGTTTCCCAGCAGTTTGACAAATATGCTGTACTGTTGTGTAGAAGTTTAAGTGAGACAGGAGTCATGTTTGTCACCGTAGAGAGGAGGAAACCATAGCACTTTTCGTTAGGATCACAGATAAGCATACATACACTGATAAAACATAAGTTATGACATTATTAATCACTTTATTGTTTACAAATAACAAATATAGCCTATGCATATCATAAAAATTTGTAGTGTTTTGTCTTTAGGATAGTGTGCTAGAGGCTCACAATCTCAAGAAACATTTCTTACTATTATGTTGAAAATGTTGAAAACAGTTATGCTGCTTAATATTGTTGTGGACGCCGTAATTCATTTGTTTTCAAGATTCTTTGCTGAACAGAAAGTTCAGAAGAACAGCATTTATTTGAAATTAGCATTAGAATTGTCTTTGTTGTCACTTTTGATTATCTTAATCAATCCTGGCCGAATAAAAGTATTATGGAAGCTTATTTCCACCAAAAAAATAAAATAAATTGTGAGAAAAAAAATTTGAGAAATAAATATAAGCTCACAATTGCAAGAAAAAAAGTAAGAATTTAGAGATAAACAACTGCAAAAACAGAACTGCAAGACTAAGAATTCAAAGGAAAAAATTCAAGATTGTGAGACATAAACTCGCAAATCTGAAGAAAAAAAATCGGAATTGTTCGACAAATCAGAATTCTGAGAAAAAAAGTCAGAATTGTGAAATATAAATAAGCAATTGAAGAAGTCAGATTTGTGAGATAAAAAGTTGCCTTTGCCTTTTTTATTTTATGGTGGAAACAAGCTTCCATAAAGAATGATTTTCATATATGTTATTTCACATGTCATCATTTCGATTTATAGGTTTAACAAGCAAAATTAATGGCTGGGAATCAGTGCTATAGTGCACACTACAGCTGATTTATGAGGTAGGCCTATTCAGTCACTGGTGTGACACGAGCAAGCAGGCAGGCACAGACAGAGCCGGGAATTCTCCAGCGGATTTTTATCAGATGACAGTGTAGTGTAAACCTCAGCATGGCATGCTGTTTCACATTAGTATTTCACATCCTCATCATTCTTAGCATTCCATTAGTTGTAGATCTGTACGCTTTGTCATGGAACATACATTTAGTTATCTGGGGCTTTTGCATGCCTTGAATTTGAAACTACACATGGCTCTGAAGCAGCTACAAGAAATAGTTCCCAGATTAGACAGGAAGAGTTTCAAATTATGCTATTAGCCACCCAATTTAATCAACTTATTTGACACAGACCGATTAGCGCTAATCTTGGTATGCCTAATGTGATCTGTAGAAAGTTTTGCCTTAATTAGTGGTTCGAAAATGCATGAGAACATGCTGAGTCAGGGATGCCCCTCTAAATCACGCAGCCAGACAGAGCGAGCAAGCCACAACATCTGAATAATGCATAACCCAACAGATCAAAGGTAACTCGTCTTCCACTTATCACACCACATTCAGCAACACAAGGCGAGAATAAGAGAGAGAAACTCAGGAGCTACAGAATGAAACCACCTTTGTAGCTTTCTCGCTCCTTTGAGACTATGAGGGGCATATAAGAAATGGCCCTGATAACACATGCACATGGAAATGAGGCTGGCTGAGGAACCTTGCCATTCTAACAGTGCTCGCATCAATGGGTCTAAGTCCTTAGACAGATAACACTGATGTATCTTCAGGATCTGTAGTTGCTGAAGCAGAAGTAGTGTGTATTTTACTCTGGAAGTAATCAGTACGTTCTTTCTGACTTTAGTGGGTAATAATTAGTTAGAACTTTATGTGTTCAATTGGACTGTTTCACATTATGTCAATATTTATACAGTATCATTTGGTTTTTAATAGTTAATAATTGATTTACCAAATAATGACCTTTTAAGTGTTTCTGTACAGGTTGCATGAATGTTAAAATCAACATGAAATGGCAATCACAACCCTTTTTATAATAATAAATAACAAGTACCGCATCTTTCACAGGCATAACTCAGAAAACAATTCAGAATATATATTTCTGCTCTTGGATATCTAGCTTATTTGCTAATATATGGCTGAAACAAAACAAAGTGTATTTCAAAGGTCTGAGGGCACAACCTGTCAATCAAACCTCGTGATTCTTCAACCCTATAAAGCCTACTGCATCATATTTGATACGCAAAAGGCCTTAAAAATTATCAACATGATCAAAACCTTGCTGAAAAACCTATTGTACACTGTAGTCTACTACATGCCTTCTGGTGTCTGTTTTTTTTTCTAGCAAGTAAAAGGCCTTTATAATTGTAAAAAAAACATCCCCCTTAAGGTCGTGGTTCATGTGTATTTCTGCTGTGAAGTCTTTATTGATTTTAATAAAGTAAAACAAATCATAAAACTAAACATTTAAATATAATTTTACTCAGACAAATTATTGCAAGATATAGAGTGACAACTGATTTTTATGTAAATCGAACTGATTTGCATTAAAAGCTATTAGAATTTCATCTTACTTTTTAGCTATATAAATACTAGCAACTGCACCATCTTGCATATTTTTGCTCAGTTTAGGCCTCAAATATGAGCTCCATGTTGTCCTATATCATACTATATGAGCCATAAAATCCTGATGTATCAAATATGATAATAAAAAAAACATATGCAAACTTGATTTTGTCCAGTGGTTCAATGAACTGTTCCATTTCATTTAAAAAATGGTTTTATGATTATTATTTCATATGCCTGACTTTACAGGCTTAAGGAATAATTTCATATAACCACAATAAGTGTAACTTTTACCTAAGGAAACTTTGTCAAGACAAACTTTGCATGTTGGCTAAACAGTCTTGTTTAAAGGTTAAAAAAATCTGAAGTTTGAAAATGTTATAGGCCTTAGAGGACAGATAGACATATAGACCAGGTTGGAAAAACACTTCATTTCCCAGAATGCCATTACCTGTTTAAACTAATTTTAACTTCAATTTCCTGCCATTCCAATTCAAAGTCCAATTTTAACTCTATGTGGGGGTGGCAAAATCGATTCAAATTCACATTTATGAATCTAAAGGTGCCAGGTCTTCAATTCTGAATTTTGTTCGACCCTACTGTGGCTCCTTTCTAGGGTGTCATGCCTGAGGCTGAGACTTTGACCCCTTGGATTGCACAGGTGTGCAGTCAATTGCAAGGGAATTCATTTCAGAGGCAGAGCAAGATATTCATTTTGCACTGTTGAATTGTGCACTGTAATACATCATCAGTATAACTTTAACCTCAGACAGCTGAGTTAGTTCTGAGTGCTAATTCTGATAACGCTATACGCTTGTGGTCAGAACATGAGAAAG